TCCAGCCTTGTGTAGGTCTACAATCTTGTCCCTGACATCCTTGGAGAGCTCTTTGGTCATGGCCATGGTGGAGAGTTTGGAATCTGATTGATTGCTTCTGTGGACATGTGCCTTTTATACAGGTAACAAGCTGAGATTAGGAGCACTCCCTTTAAGAGTGTGCTCCTAATCTCAGCTTGTTACCTGTATAAAAGACACCTGGGAGCCAGAAATCTTTCTGATTGAGAGGGAGTCAAATACTTATTTCCCTCATTAAAATGCAAATCAATTTATAACATTTTTGACATGCGTTTTTTCTGAATTTTTTTTGTTGTTATTCTGTCTCTCACTGTTCAAATAAACCTACCAATAAAATTATAGACTGATCATTTCTTTGTCAGTGGGCAAACGTACAAAATCAGCAGGGGATCAAATACTTTTTTCCCTCACTGTACTAAGCCATTGTGAAAGCCCGGTGGGCCGTTTGTCCATTTCTCCACCAACAAAATGATTAGGCTGCCAGAAGTCCAAAAAGTAATAGAATGTGGGGGGTAAAAAGTTGATCTAAAAGGTTTCCAAACATTGTCGATCCTCCCTCCCCTCAAAAAATATCTTTACCTCTGCATCGGTATATATACCTACACACCCTACATACAACAGAGTAAGTAGTATCTACTGACTGTACAGTAGTATCTCCTGAGAAAGTAGTAACTACTGACTATAATAGTATTTACTGACTAGTAACTACTGACCGTAGTAGTATCTACTGGCCTTACAGTACTATCTACTGACTGTAGTAGTAACTTCTGACCGTAGTAGTATCTACTGGCCCTACAGTAGTATCTACCGACTCTATAGTAGTAACGACTAACTGTATAGTAGTATCTGCTGACTCTATAGTAGTGTAGTGGAGTAACGCACACGGGGGTTTGCAACCGGTGTGCACGCATGTGCGAGTTACGGACAATGAGGTCGCATCGGGATGAACAGGTGCCGCGAGAGAGAGCAACGGAAAGGAGACGGAAAATTAAGATGCATAGCGGCAATTGGCTGGTTGCAAATGCAGGCACGGAACAGGCGCCAGGTTGACGGGAGATTGAGGCGATAGTCATGGGTGTGAGGCGATGGGAGGTCGGCAGCTTAATTAATTAATTAACGAGGGGGATATATACGGGAGCGTGAGAGAGGGAGTTGAGTTGGTCGGAGTGAAGGCGAGGAAAGACAAGAGAAGTCCCAGGTCCCGCTCTCCACACCTCGCCCTCTCCAGCGGCGATGGCTTAACCCCCACTGGAGGCAAGGGCGAGGTAGGAGAGGCGAGGGGAGAAAGGCTAGCAGTAGAGAAGCTAGCAAAATCCTAAGTGTGAGCGTGCTGTTGTCTAGTGATGTTCTCGATTCCTATTGTTCATGCTTTTTATTGAGAGAAAAGGCTTTTGGTCTCCTCATCCATCAGACCCTCGCACACCCCCCGAGCTGCAAATCATTCCACGATGTGACACGGCCTCTAAGCTTGCGACTGCCCTAGCATTTTTAATTTTTCCAAGGGCAGCGCTCATATTCATTCTCAGCTGGCTCTGAATGTTGGGGTTTTCTACCGTTGTTGCTGTCGCTGCGGCTTTGTGAGAGCTCTTCAAAAGGGGTGATGACAAAGAGTGATTCGGCATCTGGGAGCTGATGCTAGTTTCTGTCTCTTATCTCTGACCCAAGTGGCCACTAGCATCCATTATTTGGGCAGGAATCATTGCAGTAGGCTACCCGGAGCTGCCTGAAGTTGGGAGAATTGAACAAGGTCACATGAGCTTGGGAAAAAAATAATGAGGGAATTCTATAGTCTGAAGGAAAAAACAGAAGCATTACGTGCAGGTGGTGAGCGTGGGAGGAATCTATGTTGAAGTTCTTTTGCACCGTACGTAGCCAACCATGCTAAAAGGAAGTGTGTGGATAAGTGGGTGTGTTGTTGTGACCTGCGGTGTGGAAGCAGTCTGGTAAGGCAAGTCGTCAACAACGGTGAAGGAATCAATGAGTGTAACGATGGTAGCAATATTAGAGTGTGGAGGAGGCAACCGACTCAATTGTTCAGGAAGTTTGCAGTGCAAAATATGTTGTTAAAATAAGATCCGTGGTACACAATTATGTATTTGAAAATAGGTTGGAATGCAAAAACGTTAATATAAAAGAGGTAAAACATTAAAAATTGTTTACATTTTTAATTGTTGGAAATATGACAAATAACCCCAGCAAATATATAACAAATCAAAATGTGATTACAGATTTTTTTATTTTCCCGGTTATTACATCTTGACTAAAATAACACCTCTAACACATGTCACAGTACCGGCTCCAAGATGATGTACGTCAATTATCTGTCAAAGCGTCGACTGCGTCACTCGTGTATAGGTCAAACCAAGAGGCAAAGTCGCTGTGAGGCTAATCGCAAACTCTTTAAACTATGTTTTATTTTAGCAGGTAAGGCCCACTGAGCAATATAGCTCTTTTTTAGAAGTGACTTGGCCACAAATGACAGCTCAAAGAAGTGGCTTATCAAGTGGAAATTTATAGCAGCCAAATCCTCGAAATATGTTGATTCTAAACGTGGAGGGAAAAAACGGAGGACCCTGAGAAAAATCCACGTGACCACGGCGAGAGATACACGCAAACGCCGAATATACCGGCGTCAGGGTCTGGATCAAGCCCACAACCGCATGTATACCAGGCGAGGTAGTCAACATCTCCCCTCTGCAGCGCCAAAATCAAGCCTTGGCGTTGCTCGCCGCGGCCGCATTTCGCTGCTCGGGAAGTTTGCCTGGCAGATCGCGCGCCGCTCGCTCCACTTCGGTGCCATGCTCCTCGCCGGCTTGCTTGCGGCGTTGCAGGGCAGCCTGCTCCAAGAGCAGCGGGCGGTAGATGTAGGTGCCACTCGCAACGCCGAGCACCATCACAAACATCACCTCCATCACGCGCCTCCGCACCATCATCCTGCACGCACAGGCGGGCGGCACAGTGCCAAGCGCGTTACTCTCACGGGGCACTTCACTCGGAGGTCAGAACGAGTTCAGCGCGTTACTCTCACACACCGCAGTTCATTCGGGGGGTAGGGGTATAAAACGAGATCCTACTCAAACGAGCGTGGAAAGGCAATGGTGCCCATCTCCCGTTAACGGCACCAGAACCAGTGGTGGGGGCGAGTCTATCGACAGGACAACCTCCGTAAACTTCCTCAGGAAGTGGTGACGATGGGCTGAGTCAACCCCCAGCCAGGATTTGAACTCAGTGGAGCAAAGAGATTTACCACAGTGAGCAGCAAAATAAACGTAAATATATTTAACAGGTAAACGCCGTACAGGACAGTGTAATTAAAGTCGATTTTTTTGCTCGAAAATCATCCGTTGTCGATACCGTGTTGTGTATATTTACAGTGGTTTCACTGCTCGCCGCTTCCCATGTCCCCTCTGCGTAAACCCCGTATGGAATGGAGAGTTGGGACGACGTCTTCGCCAACGCAGCATCGTCTGAGACTTGCGCAGTCGCTCCGTACTCAATGCCCCATGGCGCTAGGAACCCTCCTCGCTGTGAGACGACGAAGCAGCAGCTTCTTCGTGTCACAGCGAGTGTCGTCTCACAGCTTCTTCGTCTCACAGCGAGTGTCTCACAGCAAGTGTCGTCTCACAGCGAGTGTCTCACAGCGGGTGTCGTCTCACAGCGAGTGTCTCACAGCGGGTGTCGTCTCACAGCGGGTGTCTCACAGCGAGTGTCTCACAGCGGGTGTCTCACAGCGAGTGTCTCACAGCGGGTGTCTCACAGTGGGTCTCGTCTCACAGCGGGTGTCGTCTCACAGCTTCTTCGTCTCACAGCGGGTGTCTCACAGCGAGTGTCGTCTCACAGCTTCTTCGTGTCACAGCGAGTGTCGTCTCACAGCGGGTGTCTCACAGCGAGTGTCGTCTCACAGCTTCTTCGTGTCACAGCGAGTGTCTCACAGCGGGTCTCGTCTCACAGCTTCTTCGTGTCACAGCGAGTGTCTCACAGCGGGTCTCGTGTCACAGCGAGTGTCTCACAGCGGGTCTCGTCTCACAGCGAGTGTCATCTCACAGCGAGTGTCGTCTCACAGCGAGTGTCTCACAGCGGGTGTCGTCTCACAGCGAGTGTCATCTCACAGCGGGTGTCTCACAGCGAGTGTCGTCTCACAGCGAGTGTCTCACAGCGGGTGTCTCACAGCGAGTGTCGTCTCACAGCGAGTGTCGTCTCACAGCGAGTGTCTCACAGCGGGTGTCGTCTCACAGCGAGTGTCTCACAGCGGGTGTCTCACAGCGAGTGTCTCACAGCTTCTTCGTCTCACAGCGAGTGTCTCACAGCGGGTCTCGTCTCACAGCTTCTTCGTGTCACAGCGAGTGTCTCACAGCGAGTGTCGTCTCACAGCGAGTGTCTCACAGCGGGTGTCTCACAGCGAGTGTCTCACAGCTTCTTCGTCTCACAGCGAGTGTCATCTCACAGCGGGTGTCTCACAGCGAGTGTCGTCTCACAGCGGGTGTCTCACAGCGAGTGTCGTCTCACAGCGGGTGTCTCACAGCGAGTGTCGTCTCACAGCGGGTGTCTCACAGCGAGTGTCTCACAGCGGGTGTCTCACAGCGAGTGTCTCACAGCGGGTGTCTCACAGCGGGTGTCTCACAGCGAGTGTCTCACAGCGGGTGTCTCACAGCGAGTGTCTCACAGTGGGTGTCTCACAGCGGGTGTCGTCTCACAGCGAGTGTCTCACAGCGGGTGTCGTCTCACAGCGAGTGTCTCACAGCGGGTGTCGTCTCACAGCGAGTGTCTCACAGCGGGTGTCTCACAGCGAGTGTCGTCTCACAGCGGGTGTCTCGCAGCGGGTGTCGTCTCACAGCGAGTGTCTCATAGCGGGTGTCTCACAGCGGGTGTCGTCTCACAGCGAGTGTCTCACAGCGGGTGTCGTCTCACAGCGAGTGTCTCATAGCGGGTGGCTCACAGCGGGTGTCTCACAGCGGGTGTCGTCTCACAGCGAGTGTCTCACAGCGGGTGTCTCACAGCGAGTGTCTCACAGCTTCTTCGTCTCACAGCGAGTGTCGTCTCACAGCGGCAAGGGCGGCAAGGCCGGGCCGGAGCGAGACGAACCTGGCTGACGCCTCCGCGCTCAACAGCAGCACCGTACAGCTGTCACCCACACACAGACAACAGCCACGAAGTGGCAGTGACGTTCCACGGCGCTTGTGCCAGGCTAGGTGCACGTTGAGACCATCAGTGTTGGAAAGCTCGCTGCTGGGAGGTCACGGGCAGGCCCTGGTGTTCTGGGTTGACTGCCTCAGATGACTGCTCCCCGCTGTGCCATCTTACACGCACATACAGTATCTACTGTACATACAACACAAGAGGCAAAGACTTTAAAGATACACTTTTTTGGGGCAAGAGCTCTTCGCCATCACTTACGAAGACCGGCAGGGCACACGGAAGGCCTTGGAGGTCAGCACCACGCACGGGGCCACCTGTTTCCCCAGTGCTGACGTTGACTACACACACACAGCACACCAGGTCCTCGTTGAAGGCCGAGTCGACCTAGGAGGGGTCCCCCCAGACACAATGGGAGCGCGTTCACTGAGAAGCCGCCGCCGCCGCCGCCGGGAGAGGTCGCGAGGGCGACGCCCGGAACGTGAATCGGGCGGCGAGATGCGGGCACAGCCGCGGTAGGTGGTGGTGGTGGCCACGGTGGGTGGTGGTGATGGTGGTGGTGGCCGCGGTGGGTGGTGGTGTTGGTGGTGGTGGCCGCGGTGGGTGGTGGTGGGTGGTGGTGGTGGCCGCGGTGGGTGGTGGTGGTGGTGGTGGCCGCGGTGGCTGGTGGTGGCCGCGGTGGGTGGTGGGTGGTGGTGGTGGCCGCGGTGGGTGGTGGTGGTGGTGGCCGCGGTGGGTGGTGGTGGGTGGTGGTGGTGGTGGGTGGTGGTGGTGGCCACGGTGGGTGGTGGTGGGTGGTGGTGGGGGCCGCGGTGGGTGGTGGTGGTGGTGGTGGTGGTGGCCGCGGTGGGTGGGGGTGGTGGCCGCGGTGGGTGGTGGTGGTGGGTGGTGGTGGTGGGTGGTGGTGGTGGCCGCGGTGGGTGGTGGTGGTGGTGGGTGGTGGTGGCCGCGGTGGGTGGTGGTGGTGGGTGGTGGTGGTGGTGACCGCGGTGGGTGGTGGTGGTGGGTGGTGGTGGGTGGTGGTGGTGGTGGTGGCCGCGGTGGGTGGGGGGGGCGACGGAGCTGGGGGGGGGGGGGCGACACTGACTTTCTCACACATCATATACTGACTCACTCATCATGCACTGACTCACTCACACATCATACACTGACTCACTCATCATGCACTGACTCACACATCATACACTGACTCACTCATCATGCACTGACTCACTCACACATCATGCACTGACTCGCTCATCATGCGCTTACTCACACATCATACACTCGCACAACCACTGACCCACTCATCATACAGAGGTTCACTCATCGTGTGCTGGCTCACTCGCACATCATATACTCACTCACACTGCCGCTGACTCACTCACACATCATACACTGACTCACTCATCATGCGCTGACTAAACACATCGTGCGCTGACTCACACATCATACACTCACTCAACCTAATACTGACTCACACATCATACACTGACTCACACATCATACGCTGACTCGGACATCATACACTGACTCGCACATCATACACTCACTCGCGCTGCTGCTGACTCACTCACACATCATACACTGACTCACTCATCATGCGCTGACTAACACATCGTGCGCTGACTCACACATCATACACTCACTCAACCTAATACTGACTCACACATCATACGCTGACTCACACATCATACGCTGACTCACACATCATACGCTGACTCGCACATCATACACTCACTCGCGCTGCTGCTGACTCACTCACACATCATACACTGGGAGTGTCGTGCTGCCAGCTTTGGCTGCAGATTTTGTCGTACGTGTTATGTATATCGTTTATTGTTAAATTTAAAATCACAGTTCCTATGATTACTGTTGTTCCATTGTTTTTGTAGCTTATGGTCTGGTTGTGGTGTAATAGTTTTCTACAATGATGATTCCTATTTTGTTTGTTGCGGTTGCACCCGACTTAAGAGTCACATAGCTCACAGGGCTATACCTAATAAATGAAACTTGAAACTTGACACGGTGGCGAGGGAGTTACACAGGCGGTCGTGGGTTCGATCCCGACCCACACGCGCCTGCTGTATATTTGGAGTTTGAGGGTCTCTCTTTTCCCGTGGTCGTTTGGGGGGTTTTTTCCGGGTCCTCCGGGTTTTGCCTCCACATTTAGAATGAACATTACGCAATGAGAGTAATTTGGCTGTTATAAATTTCCACGTGATAATCCACTTTTTTTAGTTATTGTGGTCAGGTCGCTTCTAAAAAAAGAACTGTATAGCCCTGTGGGCCTTGGTCAAATATTTTTTTAGTTTAGCCAATTGTATGATCTTGGCTATCCAGTCCAATTTGATTCATTTGTTTGATCAAGCAGCTTCCACTCCGATGATATACACCCCTCTTCAGTGTATATCGTTTATTGTTAAATTTAAAATCACAGTTCCTATGATTACTGTTGTTCCATTGTTTTTGTAGCTTATGGTCTGGTTGTGGTGTAATAGTTTTCTACAATGATGATTCCTATTTTGTTTGTTGCGGTTGCACCCGACTTAAGAGTCGCATAGCTCACAGGGCTATACCTAATAAATGAAACTTGACACGGTGGCGAGGGAGTTACACAGGAGGTCGTGGGTTCGATCCCGACCCACACGCGCCTGCTGTATATTTGGAGTTTGAGGGTCTCTCTTTTCCCGTGGTCGTTTGGGGGTTTTTTTCCGGGTCCTCCGGGTTTTGCCTCCACATTTAGAATTAACATTACGCAATGAGAGTAATTTGGCTGTTATAAATTTCCACGTGCTAATCCACTTTTTTAGTTATTGTGGCCAGGTCGCTTCTAAAAAAAGAACTGTATAGCCCTGTGGGCCTTGGTCAAATATTTTTTTAGTTTAGCCAATTGTATGATCTTGGCTATCCAGTCCAATTTGATTCATTTGTTTGATCAAGCAGCTTCCACTCCGATGATATACGCCCCTCTTCAGTCGTCCGCTTACTCCAAATAACAGACGAGCACAGTATTTGTTCACAATCATCAGCCACATGACCTGGGATTCCCACCATTTCAGCAGCGTTGGTTCAACACAAACAAAACACTGGATCGGTATTATTTGCCGTCTCGTCGGCAGTCAGCCTTGCTTGAACGAATACTGCTAGTCTATTCTTGCGTATGATGGCAATATGTTCAGAAGGTAAATGCCAATGTTAAAGATCTGCCGCTAGCCACGAGAGGGCTTCAGGGGAGAGAGTTTGTGTTGTATTACTCTTCCTACTCCATTTGTTGAGGTGTAAGTGATGACTCGGAGGCAGATCTTCGTGTAAGGGCTTGCGCCGGTTATTTATTAAGGGTTTAGACAACTTCCTCAGGGGTAGGGGTCCTTCACTAGGTACCTTCACACAAACCTTCACTCGGTCTCTTCCTTAGCTCGGCTAGCTCCGGTCTCTCTCCCTCGAGTCGGATCGGGGGATCCGCCAACACTGGCCGACCGGGGAGAGCAGCACCTCCTATGACTACCGCCGGCTTCTCTGGCCAGACTCCTCGAGCCCTACCCCTGGCTTGGCTCTTCAACCGTTCACCTTCCCGGGCTCCCACAGTGACCCCGCTTTCGTCACGGGGTCCCCCTTAAGTACCTAGAGGAGACATAACGTCATCGCCCCGCCAAGCGTGCATGACGTCACTTCACATGACGTCATCGCACCGGACGGCGCGCATGACGTCACGCCCCCATATTACTCCTCTACACATTGAAGGAATGTAAACCACTGGTTTACTGCCTGCTCCATAGTTTGGGTTGGTCACAACCGCACGGTAGTGCGGCTCGTCTTTAATTTCCCATTCATGAAGGAGATGTGTGCATCGTCCTGTAGATGTTCTGATGCGGTTCATGGTTACACCACCAGTGTCTTCAAGGAGGAATGTCAAAGCCAGGAGGAGAGTGCAATGATGTTTGGGTCTCGAATGAGGTGTTTATTCTGTACGTTATGCGTTCCACTCTGTTCATCAGCAACAGCAGCTTTTACTGCGTTCTTCGGGATCTGGGTGTTATTCTAGAATGGTGCCAACACGAATCCCGAAGGGGGATCGGAAATCGAGTCAACGGCGAGGTACATTTGTCGTGTTGCAGCACTAACTGGCGGCCACAAGTGACAACTGCGGGTATACCAACAGTTGCATATGTAGTGGGTAATAAAGTGGAGGAAGCTTGCTTGAGGAAACACGTTTATTACAACTTGTTAAACTACAATACAAAGGGGTAACGGCCTCTTCCACCCGATGTGCTACGTAGTCGGCTAGCTCGCCTCTTTCGGCTATCACTGCGCCTACACTGTCAGGGGCTTGAGTCTTCTCTGGAGTCTTCACTCGTTATAAGCTCGGAGCTTCACTGGTATAGCTCAAGCCTCACCCTAGCCAGGGGTTCAGCTTTGCCCACAGAACTCTTTTCTCTTCAGGGCTAATGGTTGATCTTCAGTCTTCAGCCGGACGATACTGAGCTGAGCCCTTCAGGGCCCTGGCTTATATACCGGGTCCCGGCTCACTCCGCCCCTGGCCACGCCTCCCTTCCAGAACCTTCTCGAAGGCCCTGGAGAATGACCTCATCCCCCAGCCCCCTTCTGGGGGCCTGGGGTCCCAACCGTTGGTCCCGGTGCTCCCCCCAGGGATTGCCTGGGGCCAACTGCCCATCATTACTCTTGAGCAGGTCCAGCCTCCCTTCTGCTCTCTACTGGCCTGAGATAGTACTGCCGGCTATGAGTATTGGCGATTGTGGCCAACCATGCCACTACACATATAAGGCGCAGACAGTATACACGGGAGCGTCGGCAGAGGGGAAGAACTGGAGCAAGGGTCATTGAGGAGATCCATCTGGAAGCTCCGAGAACCCGCTAGAGAGTTCCAGAAAGGGGGCGTGGCCAGGGCGGAGACGGGTCACGCTATGAAGAATAAAAGGGGGGTGTGAGTCAGAGCTGTTTGTGGGAATCGGGGTCATCTCGTTGCGGAAGTCCTTTTCGTCGTCGCCATTGTCGCTGTCGTCCTTGTCATTGCTCGATGTCGCCGCTGCTGGATAGTCAGCCAGTTATCTAGGCAGTTAGCGCCGTCGTGCTAGACGATAAGCGTTGTGTGATGTGCTAGTGAGTTGAAACAGTGTGATGTACGAGTAATTAATAAAGGTGCCTCTACAGTTATTGTCTCCGGAGTCCTACATTACACATTTGTAATGACTGAAATTAAGAAGCACTCACCCCAAGCAAACGTGCAGCCAAACTGTCTTTCAAAAAGTAGGCCAAGGCCTCTTATTGGCAGAAAGAGGCCTCCTCAATGATCGATCGGGAGGCAGGGTTTGAAAAGATTGGAGGAAAGATTTAAACGGGAAAACGTGGGAAACAGAGTGGAACCCGGAAGTGATGGTTGGGAACCGTTGGAGGACGGGGTTTGGCTGCGGTAAAAACGGTGAGGGAAAGTTCGAGAAAGGGGGCTCGAGAAGGATAAAAGGGAAGAGCATGAGAAGGGACATTCGAGGGAAGGGACGAGCTTCAAGGTCAAGAA